TTCACATTGTTTATAAATTATGTCTAAATATTATGTAATTTCCACAATTCTCTATCTTTTTGTATCTTGTCCATTCTAGCCCTGATGAAGACCTGCAAGGTCGGGTCGAAACGTTGGCTTTCAATAAAATAGTTTTACCACTATTTAGCCTTTTTATCACCGCAACCCCGGACCATCTCCTTCCTTTATAATGCAACGGTTAACCATTAAATATTCAATAATTTACTGTTAATTGTTATTTCAATTGTGCAATAGATTGAAATTAAACATTGTACAGATGCAAGTAATTTTACATGTTAGGGGAAGTTTGAATGTGGAGTAGGTGTTGAAACAGGAGTTGTTTGAAGGAATTTGTGGACGAGGATTGACGCATGAAGGCAGGAAGTGAGTTCCATAAGGAAGCAGCACGAATGACAAAGGATTTGCTGAAGGAGGAAGTTTTATGGGAGGGAATATATAAGTCTATAGGTTGAGATCTATTATTGAGAGAGTGGATAGAGGAGCGTAGAGTAAGGAGTTCCAGGATGTAGGGAGGGTTTTTGGTTCTGAAGACTTGGAAAAGGAAAACACCAAGGAGGAATTGTCGTCGGGAAGTAGGATAAAGCCACTTCAACTCGGTGTACCAGAGTGAAACATGTGAACGTCTGGGGATCCCGAAAATGTATCTTATGAGACAATTCATGAGTCTCGTTTCCAGCCTAGCAGATAGCCCTCCATACACCAAATAGCCGTAGTCGAAGTGGGGGAATACAAGGAGCTGTCTGGTTTTTAGAGGAATACAATCACGGAATCTTAGGAGTTGTTTAAGGGCAGTTATGGATTTTCGGGTAATCTGGGAGATATGGTTATTCCAGGAGAGGTTCTGGTCAAAGGTTACTCCTAGGTTTTTGACTGTAGGGAAAAAATGGATGGGACGGTTATTGAGGTTAAGTAGAGGAAAGTAAGGAAGGGAGCTGATGAGATGTCTGGACCCGATGATAATAGCCTTGGTTTTATCTGCATTCAGCTTTAATTCATTTATTTCTGCCCATCTGTTGATGCAGTCGATGTCCTCTTGTAGCCTTCGGGCAGCCTCAGACATGCATCTTAGAAGGTTGGAATGATTGGTGCATTTGGAAATGGTCGGCATATAGGTAGTAACTGGAGTGTTGAATGGCGTTGGGAAGGTCACTAATATAGATAGAGAAAAGGGTCGGGGAGAGTGAGGAACACCTCGTGTTAAGTGAAGGGGTGATGATGGAGGTTTATTTGGAATTGTAACTGTCTGAGATCGATTGGATAAGAAGGAGAGGAACCATTTTAGGACGCTATTTGATATGGGCAGGCTTTGGAGTTTGGAAAGAAGTTTCTCATGATTAACGGAATCAAACGCTTTGGAAAAATCAAAAAGAATTAGGATGGAGATTTTCTGTTTATCTATGGCGGATTGGAGCTCCTGGGTAATCCTTAACAAGGCAGACTGGGTGGAACACTGGGAACGGAAACCAGATTGTAAAGGATTGAGGAGATGGTTTTGCTCGAGAAAGCTGTTCAACTGAGAGTGAACTAATCTTTCTAGAGGCTTGGATAGAATGGAGATGGGTCTGAAGTCGGAAGCTGATGAAGGAGTTGGAACTTTGTTTAGTGGACGGACTATGGCTCTTTTCCAGGATTTGGGAAAAATGGAATTTTGGAGAGAGAAATTATATATGTGTAGAAGTGCAGGTAGTAAGCCTAGAAGGCAAAGTTTTATAACTTTAACAGGAATTTGGTCAGGACCATAATCATTCGTTTTGGATTTAAGAGTGGCAGAGAGTAAGTCAGTAGGAGAGATATCGAGAAAATAAAACTTATCAGAATCGAAGGGGGTTTCGGTAATGGAAAAATATGAGCGGTCAGATGGAGATGTGGATAGAAAATGTTTAGTGAAAAAAGAATTTAGCGTGTTGGGATCGACTGGATACTGTGTGCAGGTTTTCGAGGTAACAACAGAGAGGTTCTTAAGAGATTTTCCATTTGAATTTAGGGATTAGGTTCTTGGATAAAACGTTATTAAAGTATTGGGCTTTGGCGCGACGTAGGGTCATTTGTGTGAGATTTCGTAGGGATTTAAATGTGGAATAATGCTGAGGTAGTCTAGTACGTCTGTGTCGTCTTCTAGCAGTTTCTCTTCTTCTCATTAGTTCTCTTATTTCTGTATAGATCCAAGGAGCGGGAGGACGTCTAAAGACACGTATTTTTAGAGGTGCGTGACGATTGAGGAAATCGAGGAGGTTGGAGGAAAGGCATCCAACCATATCATCGATGGAGGGAAGAGAATAGATGGGTTCTTAGGATGTGGAAAGGGAATCTAGGAAAGGGCTGATGTTTTCAGTGGTTAAGGAATCAAGATCTCTCCAGGAAATTTGTTTGGGTTTAGGTGAAGGAGTAGGGAAGTTGTATGTTATTTCAATAAGATCGTGGAATGAAAGGAAGGGAACTAGAATTTGCGTCGAGGATAATAGGTTATGGAGACAATCAATAATAAATAAGTCTAGCCAAGTATCAGTGGATTGAGTGTGATGGGTGGGTTGAAAGGATACAATAAATAGATCTAAGGAAAAAAATAGGTCGGTAAGATATGTTCTGTCCTGAGTATTTGAAAGGGGGTTGGTGTTGAGATCACCAGCAATAATAATATTTTCCTAGAGAGGAATATATGTAAGGAGGGAGGACTTGAGAGTGGGATCGAATCGGACGCGAGGAGGTCGGTAAACTACAATAAAGAGTAGAGAAAAGGTACTAAAGGAAACTTGGATAAACAGATATTCAATGTTAGGGACATCTGAAGGAGGAGATTTTAGAAGGACTTTGGCCGTCGAACTGAAATCCCACCATTATCCACTTATAATTAGTGACAACTTTAGACCTATCTATGGGGGGCAATGAAAATCTCGTAATTTCATTTTAGTAAACTTTACAATGGAAAAAACAGTTAAATAACTAGTAATCGTTCAATCCATAATCATTTATAATTTGAATATACAGACATACTTTCAAATCTCTCGAGACATATATATAGCTCAGATACTGGAGTTATGTGGTTCACAAGGTACGAGGTACGAGGAGTAACGAGGTTTTTATTGCCTACCGCCGATATAATTTTAGAATTTTTGTTATTTTAGTAGTTTTAATGATTTTTAGCTGTAACTCCGTTAAATATCCAGCTACGAGGACCATTTACAATGGAATGATACTGGATATTCTGAAGTACGCCTCTCCTGCGTGGTTTCAGAACCTCTCATACCGTCAGAAAAGTAGATTGGCGGCAATTAAACGTACGGCTCTGTAGCATGTTACCAAGTCATACCGAAGTGTGTCTCACGAGGCGATGCAGATCTTAGCATGAAGGGTACCTCTCGACCTTCTCCTGCGAGAAGACTGGTTGATATTTAAGTTCAAAAGAGAAGGCTCAGCAGGTCTTCCGGAAAATATGCTGGTGAGGATCACAGAAGACCCAAGAAAATGGAAAAGGATTATTCGGAAGGAAACCACAGATGAATGGAATCGACGGTAGGTAACTACCTCGAAAGGAGCTACTTTAAGAAAATATTTTCCAACCGTCCGAATTCGCTTGGATGCGAAGTGGGTTCTCCCGGATTACTGGGTCTCTCAATTCCTTACAGGGCATGGGCGTTTCCGCGCTAAGTTGCACAGTTTTGGAAAGGATATAGATCCCTATGCCCCAGTTGTGGAGTACCGAAGACTGCTGAGCATGTCATAGTCAACTGCACCGCCTTTGATGGACTAAGGGCCGGAATGATGATAAAAATTAGAGTCTATGATCTCACTGAGGATGAATTTCTCCACTTAGTGATGGAGCAGAACTACCCGTATTACAAAGATTTGTACCGTGTACGGGTGGAAAACTGCTTAGGGGCCCGTGCACTTTAATCTGGGAAGAAGAGGACCTGCTAATGGAAGGCCGCCAAACTGACATTGTGAAAAGAAAATATTGTAAAAAGAAGAGTTTTGAAAAACAAAACTAAATCGCTAAAGTACTAGCCGTTTAATAGCAGGAATGACATACACGTTATGATATGCCATCCCTGCAAAATACCGTGTATCCGAAAGGCAAGGAAGGGGTGAATAAATAAATAAAAAACTCTGTTAAACATTTTATAATAGCCCAACATTGCCATTAAATAATTTTCATTCGAATTAGAGCGCTAAGTGAAAGTTGTGTGTTACGCAAACCAGATTTTTTCTCCTGTATTTTATCACTACAGTGGTTTGCCTATAAAATTGATTGAACGTTCCTTTCCAATTTCATTTAGTTATTTTGATTTTATTGTTTCAGCACTAATATTGCAGTATTGTAACCTTGTTGTCCATCTGCTTTCGTTAATATATCCTAAGAGCTATACATATACTTGTTTTATTAGTTGTATTTAAGCAGGGGTTTCCAGTTGTGCCATTAAAATTTTTGAGGGGGAAGGGTCATATATTGACGAGTTTTTTAGGGAGACAAAATTCGACAGGGTTATGAATTTTTGGACTAAGGGACAAGGGGAAAACATGAAACAGGACGCAGCAAGTGTAGTATACGATCTATGATTTTTCTAATTTTACATTAACTTGCTCTGTTTTTAAGAAAAGGTGAGCAATAGAATATCTTGGAAGGAAGGGTGGGGAGGCGTAGGTTCTTGTGCCATGAATTTTGGCGGAGATGAGCACCCCTGTATTTTAGTTATTCTTTGTGGTAATAGGTTTTTTGGCCTGATTTATGAACCTATTGACCTGTTTTTTGAATAATTTGTATGAACAATATTATTATTTTTAAGGAAAATTGTCCCAGAATAAAGATGATTTTCTATTTCTAAACTTTAAACGGAATGTTAACTTTGAGGTGTGTTTTTAATAACTAATATTTTTTGTTCTAATTTAAGTTTTATGTTATATCTCTTTTTGTTTCTCTCCATTTTCAGTCCTCTATGGAGCATATTTATCCTTTGTCCTTGTAGAGGTTATTATTAGGTTGTCACATTCAAATTTCATACTATGTATTGTTTAGTTTTGTGAAATTCTAAAATGTTGACTCCGTTTTTCGAGTTGTCTCAAACTGACAGTGAAGTACTTCTAGTAATTAAGGCACCTTTAGCTAATGTTTCTGATGCGGAACTGACTGTTAATGGGGACACAATAATATTTTATTGTTCCCCTTATTATCTAAGGTTAGATATATATCTTTGATTTACTAAATGATTATGAAATATAAAGTAAATGAATGTAATTTTTGGTTTTATTAAAAAGCAGTACTTATTAAGGTATAATTGCTATTTTATGATTGTTGTTTTTATGCTTGAGACACATATGTGTTTATTGTATTCACCAAACTTTTTTGGTTTTATGGCTTATATCCTCTAATAATATGTGTTAATGCTTAGTATCAAAATAGTTATAGTGATTTTCATGTTAAAGAAACTTTTAGTTAAAACACAAATCGATTTTTTTTTGTAACATGTAATGCAAGAACTTATTTTTAGAATACTATGTTCTTATACAATTATTTTTTATTAAAGAATTCGTAAATTTATTACAATATTTTAGTTTTAATGTCTAATTGTTAAGTCTTAAACTGCTGCTTTGAAAGTGATTTAGACATATTAATATTCAAGAAAGGTTTAGCCCATGCTACAGATCCCTTTTTATCGAATTATTAACATCCGTCTGAAACTTTGTAAATAGTTTCATCTCTTCGTAATCTACAACTATTTATTTACGAAAACTCTTGGAATGGGGGCGTTTTCAATCTGGAGGGGGACAAACTTTGTCTATTTAATTAAATACTAAAAACTCATAAATACTCATTTGCTTTTTTTCCTACTTGGATTGTAAGATAATTTTATCACAAAATCGATAAAAAAGGTAGCCTACAAAAATATTACACCGTTTATCCTATATAACCTCGTTATTTTGAAAATTTTGGGGTGTAGGTCACGCCAAAAGGCTCCTCTATGTTATGTTTTGGGAATATTTAAAATTTGGGGGATTTCAATTATTTTGAGATAGATACGTGTTTTGAAATCCCATAAACGAGCTTAGTGATTGTATCCTGAGGCCCAGTCCATAACACAGAGTTGGGTTTCTTTTTTGGAGATAGATTTCTATTGCTATGTCTCAGTGTATGCAGATAGTTCCTTATGCTAAGGGCTAATGATTCATTGGTGGGATCATCCAATATATATTTAGGCCGGATACTATTGCAAGTGTCATACCTGAACTCATAACTACTTAGCCTATTAAGACAAAACGTCTATCAATAAAAAAACCCAGTTGTTTCTGTTGGATGGTATACACATTCAAAAGTTTTACTCTGATATTTTCTGAGGTGAATGTGAAAGGAATGATGTATCAAAAACCTGCTAATTTAGTCTGAGTGTACATATTGATACATTCCTGACTATGCATAGAGGATTCTACAGTAGCGTATGTATTCTATTAAATATATTTGATATTTGTTATATATGAAATACTGATACTTATGGTTCAAGAATGGAATTGGTCTACTCAAAAATATATATCAAAGAGAATAGAAGAAAACGGCTACAGATTTTCCACTTCCTGTTCTTCCAAACACATTCACAAACTAACTCTACTTCACTTAATCTTTTCCACAAGACTAACCAACTAACCAAGACTTTTTATCAAAATCTTCTCTATTTTCTTATGGCCTTTTCTATTGGTGAAATTTTTTTAGGGTAGGACTGCCCCTCTACTCTTCTGTAAAAGTTCTAAGTAGCGTTCAGTCACTATTGGACTTTTGAAACAGATTATGTTCATCTTCATGACTTTCTGATCAGATTGCCAGCCTAAAACTAAATAGTGTGGTGTTGCTCAGAAACCTGCGCCATGTCCCATGTTTACCTGCCGTATTCTGCATCGGAAATATTTAATTTTTTCGGCCATAGAATCAATGTGAAGAGTGTCCTTATTTAAAGAACTGATAGTAATCTCAGGAGCTAAAAAAGTTTATTTAAACCATTGTCCGATTTACTGCAAGAAATTAAACTTTTGTGTGACAACCCTTAGTGAGTCTACACTGAGGGAATTCTTTCCTACCATTGGATCACACCTAGAAAAAATATGGGTCCTCCTGGACTATTGGTCTCACAGATTCTCAAGGTACTTGGGTTTTTCAGAGCGAAGATTTTTAAACATGGTAAAAACATCAACCTCTCATGCCCTATTTGTGGTGTACCAGAAACTTCAATCAGTCAGTTTTTTTAAGTAAGTGACTTATTTGTTGGATAGGAAATGATAACTAAAAAATATTTAATTTAGGTAATTAAGAATTACATCATAGTAAACTAAACAAAATTTCCTCCAAATGCAAGTAGTATTTGTTTAGTTAAAACTATTTAAAGAGAACCTCCTCATGCGGAGGAAATGGTCAAGTGTATAAGAGCCTTAAGATAAGCTTAAGTGCTTATTGTAGAAAGTTATAAAGTTAGTCTTACTAAGTTCTGCTCGAAGTGTGGGATTCTATTTTCATAGTTATACTTAAACTCCCTCAAAAAAAAATTCTTTTCATTAAATAAAATAATCTGTTGGAATATGTTTTTATTCATCTAATACTTTTGTTAAAAAATAATTCATAACTATTAAATCAAATATTCTTGTACTACTTAAGTTATTGGTCTATAAAATTAGTAATTAGTAATTAATGACGTATGTTTCAATGCTTTAGACTTCATTTACCAGGAAAGGTTGTTGAAACTGAAGATGATACAGGAAAATATAATTGTGATGGTCAAGAGTTTTTGTTTTCCTTTTTCAAAGAAAATAAGAATGAACACTTTCCCGACCTTGATATGATTGGCAAACTCTTGGTGCCAAAAAAGAAGCACACAATTAAGCCTGTCATAGAAGATTGTTCTCCATCAGAAGGTTTTATACTTTTAACTATAATCATTTATTTTCTTTATTGCATGTATTTTATATTGCAATTATTATTATTATTATTTTAATATTTAGATGCACCCGATTCTGAGAGTGATGATGACTCATTAGGATATATTAAACAGGAGATTTTTAACAATAATTCTTCTTGTGCAAAGTTTGGGTTTGCTAATAAAGGTCAAGGCATTGGCAATCATTTATCGGTATAATAATTTCCTAATAATTGCTTAAATTCCAAACAAAGTTGAAATTTATTTAATACTATTATTTTTATTTTGATATGTAGTTGGAATTTAATGAAATTCTGGATTTTACTGATTTTGAAAACACCAGTAGTGATGAACGATCCAGTCTTCGTGAGGCTGATGAAAAAAATAAATTTTCAGAAGACCATTACTTAGCTGATCTAATGGAAGGGTGTGATGAGATAAATGGGCTTGTATATTGGAAACCAGCTTGGGCTGATTCTGCAGATGATAAAGGTAAGTAAGATGAGAAAAAATCATACTTTTTGAGATATCCCAATTTTGATTTTATAAATAAATATATTTATTTTTATTGTTTCAGTTAAATTTAGTAGAGAAGAAATGGAATTGTTTAGGACTTTGGGAAATAGAGATTATCTCCTCGATGAATGGGAAAAAAAAACTGCCCTTTTTTCTTTAGTCGATATACTCTTTGCATTTGCTTATAATCATAGGACCACTCTTGGAGAATACAGTGTAGAATCGGCTTGGACTATAAATAAACTTAGCGCAACCTTATCTTGGTTTCAGGTACTACAACTTATATTATTTTTCTAAAGTTTTATCTTATTATAATATATTTGGAAGTTATATTAGTTTGTAAACCTTCAATCTATTGTCAAAATAACTTTTTAATTTCACTTACCTATATATGAAATATATCGTAAGGGAAAGTATTGCGATTGTGACAATTTTTGAATCTGAGTTTTAAACGGAAATACACGTTTTGAGGTCCCCTGAGTCAAAATAATCAAGATTCACAAAATGATGTGTGTGCGTGAAGAGTCTAGCTCAAAAAAAAAAAAAAAAAAAATTATAAGAAACTGAAATCCCGTATTTAAGGTTTGTATATCCCCGGGATGTAACAGCAACTTTTTTGTCATAAGCGGTAAACCGGAAGTGGCTCTTTATATAATTGGTTTTACACATTATTACGAAATTCTCAAAAATGGCTCTAATGATTTTGATTAAACTCAGTATATCAGTGTATTATTAAGTAGTCTTTAATATCAGCTATGTCTTATCCATATTGATATCACCTTATGAGCTTAAATGTCCAATATTCAACATTTCTTCCTCTAAAGTACCTTTTATTTGGTTTTGGGTTTTAATTTTAAATAATTAACTATCTCTCATTGTTATGAGTTATGAAAAAAGGCTAAATATAACTTTTGAAAGAATTTGGTTGCTGTCAAATAAATATTAAATTTTTAAAAAAGCATTTTTATTGTTTCGCCGACGTTTTGACCAGTCTATCAACTGCTACCTGCAGTGTCCTATACCACACCCTGATAAAGACTTACAAAGTGGGTCGGAATGTCGGCGAAACGATTAAGATACTATTTTAAAAATTTATTATTTATTTTAGCACACACCTCCCCCCCCCCCCACAGCCCTCCGACCAACTCCTTCTTAAATTAAAGAATAATTTAATGAATTTTCCTATTGTGATATCCCAACATTATCCACTTACAATTAGTGTGACAACTTTTGACCTATCTATGACAGGCAATGCAAATCTCATAAATCTATTTTAGTAAATTTTGTAATGGAAAATAACAGTTTAATAATTAATAACCATACAATCCATAATGAATGAGTGGGTCGTACAATCCATAATCAACCGTTGATATAATAAATAGGATTTTTGTTATTTTAATGGTATTTATGAATTGTTAGCTGCAAGCTTTAGCTCTGTTAAAAATGCACTTCAAACATTTTATAATAGCCCAACATTGCCAGAAAATAATTTCTATTCAAAGTAGAGTGGCAAGTGAAAGTTGTGTGTTTCCCACACAAAATTTTGCTATTTGATAATTTCTGAAGTAGAGAAGGGATCATTAGATTTTTCCTAAAATTTATAATTTTCTCTTTTGCTTCTATTACTTTGCTCAGCAAAAAATTTAAATTATTTTTCTGAAAGTTGAGAGAAAATATTCTATTATTCAATGTTATTAAAATTTATTCATTATTTATTGAAAGTGCAGTTAAAAATACTTTAAGGTTCTTAAAAGTGGTAAAATTCTACAACAGAGTGTAATTCAAAGGTGTTGCCAATGCCCCTACAGGGTAGAGGCAACAAAAAAAAATCAAATAAATAAATAAATAAAATTTATTCCATTGTGAAATAAAACCTGCTTCAAGAATTAAATGTAATAAGCAACAAGGCTTTATCATGCAAAGGTTATAATAGTTCGCTTCTTCGTATTTATACCATGTATTTATAATAGGCATAATAAAATATTAATTTTCTGCCCATGTAATATGTTTAATTATTTATCAGTTTGTAGAAAAATGTTGTTTGAAGTAAACCATGGTGTTTACATTATAATTAGAATATTATGTTTTGTTACTTATAATATAATACTTATATATTACTTATAATGAGATATTTTATAGTTTGCATTATTGCCTAAGATGTTAGCTACCTCATATTTTTTTCACTTATGATATATGGCAACAGGAGAAAGACCAATAAAGAAACTGGTCAGTTTCATGATAAGGCTAAAGATCTTAAAGCAACAAAAAATAAATTAAATTAGCTTTCTTTTTTCTAAATTCTGATAAGCGCCCAGGAAGTCAATGTAATGTATTAAGTATAATAATATAGTTATATCGATGAAATTGCCATTCACACTGAGGTTGATGTTGGAGAGGTGTAAATCACTCATCATCTCTTTGTTGGTTTTAAAGCCATATATTACAGTGTAGTGTCACTCATCTTTACTGATTAATGATGGGAGAGGTTGCCGAGCGGGCAAACGTGTGTACACAGCACCACCTTGCCTGTCAACCTGAGGAAAGATTATTTGATAAAATAATTATGAGTTTTCATCCCGGTGCCGGGGAGGCTTTTAACTCTGGCATTAATCCCCCGCCGTCACCCTCTTGCTTCACTGATTAAATTAGCACATCTATTGTGCTTTCTTGCACATCTATTGTGCTTATTGTACTTTCTTTCATTCTTAACAAATTAGAGCATAGCAAACTGACGTTCCTCAGGAGCTATATCAGTATGATGAAATACGAGAGGAAATTTAATGTAGGTTTAAGTCCTGAAATCTTGACCTCATCCTCCAAACTCTGCAGATGATCCTCAGTATTAACGGAAATATTTTCAGGTCCTCTCTGTTTTACTATTAAAGGTAAATGAAAAAAAATTGCAAACATCACCTCATTAGAAATCTCCAGAAATAAGATTTTTTTTAAACTATCTTAATTTTCTGGTGTTGTTCAAACTGAGATTATTAAAAAGTCTTTTTTTATATAAAATAAAAAAAATAAAATTATATCTTTACATCTTATGTGTTTATAACTTAGCTTATATTTGTTTCATGCCAGTCTTTCAAAACGTTAAAGGACGTTAAACTTTCCTGCATGAGGAGGTCTCTTGTTTTTCCTCTTTATAGGCATTGGGATTTATCACAAGAAGTTCTTAAAGATACTATAAATATTTTAAAATCAGGTAAGATTATTTTTTCTCAATCCTTAATTTTTTTGTTTATTTTATTTCTTGATTACTAATGATTGTGAATGGAATGTTTCTACTGTTCATTCTTTTGTATATTTTTAAAGTTTTATCTTTTAATCTCATGTTGATTTTGTATCTATTAAAATGCTTGACCAACATTAGTGCTGCTTTATTACCGATTCGTTCTATATATTTTTTACTATTTCTAAGTTTTCTGAGATTTTAAGACTCTAGTAGGACTTTTTTTTTTTTTTTCTTCCCTACCTCGCCTTTTAGGCTATACGGGATTTTCCCGGACCGGGGGGTGAGGGCGGGGAATTTAAAATCCCCTCCGGCACCGGGACGCGAACTCGTACTTTTTATATCATCTCAAATCTCTATTATCCGGTTGCCAGGCAACTAGCGGTGCTGTGCACACACTTTAGCCCATTCAGCCACCCCGCCCCCTAATAATTAAAATAGTTGTAGTTTTATTCAGTTTATTTAATTTGCTTCTTTCATATCATCAATAGCTACAAAAACATTTAATTTTAGACTGAAAACTTACCCTATCACCGTTTTCTACTATTTATTTGAAATAAGGAGTGAAATTTTCATAACAACCTACAAGTTAATGTCTGTCAAAGAGCTTTTATACTTAATCTTGTTGAAGGAAAACAAACTTAGTTCTCAATTATACAGGATGTTTCATGGGCACAGATCTGATGACCTCTTGACCTCTAAAGTTTTTCCACTAGGGAAGAGAATAAAACTTTATAATTTTTGTAGTTAGATTGATGGAAAAAAAAATGCACTGTTCTGACTGATACGATTTTTTGAATTTCATAATTGTAGAAAAGTTTTGTCATGATAAATCGTAAAAAGTTTATATTGAATGGCCTATTTTGATTCTGTTTTATAGAAAATATATTAATAGAGCAATAGGAAATACATCTTATTTATTAAATAGCTCCTTAAATTCCATGATTTATTTTTCCAAAGTACCCATTATCTTGTTCCCTCTCTCATTTTCTCCCACATTGACTATGGCTGATTAATGTATTGTTTCATAAGATTTATTTTTGGTGTTCTCAGATTCACATCTCAGGTAATCGGTAAAAGACTATTTATTTCCTAATTTCTGATGACCGTAGCTCCTTGGTGCTTTCCTATTCCAATCCTTGCTAATTTGATTGGGCTGATCATCATCCTGTGTTCTTTCCACCTCTTAAATCTCAACCTTCTGATTTGTATATCCCTTCTTGTAGAACAGCTTTCTTTGAATAATCCATTTTAATTCGAGCTACCTCATTTTGGGATTCACTAACTTAGTTCATTCATAAAGTTCCCTTAATTACCTCATTCAAACACTATTTATTTTTCTATCTCCTCAACTATTAATCTTCCGTGTATATGTAAAAAAGAAATGTTGTAAGTTAGTGTAAATATGTATGTAAATATTTTTAATCTCTTTCATTTTTATCATTATTAATTTTTTTTTATTTATTAATTTATCTTTAGTTTATAATTTAATTTAATTTAGTATTTATCGATGCAGCCAGACAAATGCTGTTTTAATGTACACTTTTGTTATTAGATGGCTAAATACAAAAAACAAATAAAGATAAACTTTTCTACTTCATCTTTTTCTCTTTATAAATTTCTGATATTATTCAGTTGATCATATGTATTTGGTCCATTTACTTATTATGTTTATGAAACAGGGACATTGAATGTAAACAGAGCATAACAAGCAGTAAATATCAATAAATAAATATGTTTTCTTTAAAAAAAAAAAAAAAAAATATTGCCAGATCTAATTAAATAGAATATAATTTAATTTTTGGTTTGTCTATAATTATTTTTATATTTAATGAATAAGATAAATTAAATTTTAAAACTTTTTTTTTTCCAGGTAGAAGGCAGCTTTTAAAGTGTTTTATAGCAATTTATAAAATGTTCAATTCCAGTGAACCTAGATATTTATTAAATGAACTCTATATCACTGACTACTGTATATGGATTCAAAAAGTTTCTGAGAAAAAAATTAAGAAATTAGGTTATTTATTTGAAAAGGTTTGTTACCCTGCGAACTCTTTATAGGAAGTATGCTGCTTCTTGGCTATATTTTAATATTTTAATTGGTTGTTTGTAGGAAGAAGTTTCAAAGAACGATATCGGGTTCGAACTAGTAGAACTTGAAGCTGCTGCTTTAATGGTTCAAGAGGAAACTGAATCAGAACTTGTTGACCAATTAAAGGAAATGAAAATAAGAGAAGACAAGTAAACAATTTTCAATACAAAATATATTAAAAACATTTTTTTAAAAATTTATTCTGACTCTTTTTTATTTTTTTTATAAAGCAATGAGACTAGTGAGTCAGATACTGACTCGAGCTCTAGCGAATCCAGCGCCAGCACGAGTTTAGATTCAGATGATTTGTCTTCCTCAGAAGAGTAAGTTATATTTATTCCTAATAAATAAATTAATTATAAAAAACTATTTACAATTTTTCAATATTCATATTTGATCCAGTCTAGAATTCTTCCATAATGTTCCTTAAGATTTTGTTTTTCAACCAATTCCCGACTGTTAAGTTGACTATTTTCATAATCATTTTGCGATTCTTCGTCAGAACCTTCATCATAATCATCCAATATTTCTTCATTAATATCATTCATTTCAGTTGTTATTTCTGAATAAGAGTCATGTTCTTCCCTAGAGTTATCGAATTCTTGAGATTTCTCTGAATTACTTAGTTCAGTAAAGTTTATTTCTGTTGTCATATCACTTGGCGCACTATCAACTAAAAGATTGTCTTTCATATCACTGGGCGTACTATTAACTAAAACATTGTCTTTCGTTTCACTAGAACTTAAAGATAATTGAGTTTCGTTTGCCATTCGTAGGCTATTATTTGCTAATTTTTTAATACTGTTTACCGACTGTTCAACATCTAATTGTTTTTCGTTCACACCACTGTCACTAACAGCTTCATTTGGAATAGAAGTTGATTCATAAGCTTGACTATTGTCCTCCGGAATATTCAAGCTAAATGTTGGTTTATGTTTCATTTTATTTTTCGTTTCATGTGGCAAGTGCCGATGATGCCCTGGCATTCCATGAGCTGTCATGACTATATGGTTGTAGACGTTGGGGTCACCATGATGTCTGTGCCTCACTCTCATCACAATGCCCAAAGGAGTTTCCTCTGCGTGAGATTGCGTCTCTTCAACCATTGGAGGATAAATCTTCAGATTTTCCTCTTTTACCTGCCAATCAGAAATTAAATTTTAAGTTTTGTTGAAAGTTTTATTGGTTATGTAGATATTAATTACATATAATGAACTGAAATTTTAAATTTATTCAAATATATTTCTTGAGCCATATTGACATGCACTTTCATAAAATTATTTTTTTTAATCTTAAACAAGTTGTTTTTAAAGGATTTGTCTCTTTTAAAACATTTATTTTCATATTTATGTTATTAGTGAAATATATATTTTTTTAATTTGATTAATAATTTTGAAAAATTTAATGTTTTATTTTGGAGAAAGGGGAAAGGTATTAACCTAGGTGGCAGATTTTCATAAATTATCTTATTCTTTAGCATACTGTATTTCTGGGAGGAAGTGGGCACAGAATCATGTTCTAATTGCCTTATTTTTCTCCTACTTCCTTTAGGTACTCATTTATTTTTATTATTGAGCCAACCTAACCTCAGTGATTTTGTATCAAGAGAAAATTTTGTTTACTAAGCTGTGGTTTGAACTAGGTTTATTCAGAATGCAGAATGCAATCATGGATATTAAAGAAGAAAACCATTTTTCTCTTTTATATCCTCAAATTAAATCTTTGGTTGTTAGGAATGTTACTTATTCCAACTTTTATCTTAATTTTTTTTTTTTTTTTAAGAAGCAATGGTTCGGAATTTTTTATGGCTATGCTAATACTAAAAATAAAAAAAATAATAATGAGCCCAAATTTTATCCTGAATAAGGCTTTCATAAATAATAATGTTTTATTTCTTATATTTAAATATACGTTAATATTATTTTTGCAGTTGAAATATTTACCTGTGTGTAATCCTGTGGACAGAGGCCACATGGGTGGCTAAATTGGGTAGCTATTATGGCACCACGCAAAAATGGCATTTGAAGACTCGACCAGGGATTTATTATTTCATAGACCATTCTTCCACACCTGAAAGAAAACACATGTAAGATAAACTCATGTTTTTGAGAAGAATACAAACCAAGATACGTTTTGATGAAAACATTATTTCATCAATTATATACATTAAATTTTAACAGAGATTATTTTTTATGTTATGTTTTAAGAAGTTGTTTTCTTCTACTATTTGTATGTATAAATTTATATTTATAAAATTTTAACTTGTTAAAAATGAATTAATTTAATATTTTTAAAATAAAATTGTTATTGAAAGTTTTTGTACAAAATTTTTATGCATCTACATTTTCCTTCCCTTAATTTTAGATTAAAATTGGATCTTTAAACGATATTTAAAAAAAAAATTATAATATTACCAAACTGAAATAATAAAAATATATATTATAAAAATGTTGGAATGTACCTAATTTTTCATGTTAAAACTATTTAGTAATAAATATCTTCATTCCTAACTAACGTCTTGTATTACTAGTTTTTAGTATTTCAACTCTGTGTATTGGTTAAAGACAGGTTATTATTTAGTTAAAAATTTCATATCTGTATTTAATTTTATTTATTTTAAACTAGGGACGATTTACAATTATTGCTCACTTATTTAGTTATTTTATTGAAATACTAGCTTTACCCGGCCATGTGCTGCTGTGGCTTAGCCTGGCAAAATGAAAAAGAAAGAAAATAGAAAGCACATATGAGTAGATTAGTAGCAAAAGACATTTGTCATTTTTAAAAAGTTGGGAAACAAATTTGTCTTTAAAATGGCTTCAATTTAAACTAATTCTTATGATTTTTTTTCTCATGATTCAAATTGAACATTCATAATCATCTGAGTGAATACGCCGTCATTCATAATCATCAGAAACAGTCTGAGTTGAAATTATAAAACTAAAATAAAAAATTAATATAAAGAACGTATAATAGTATTGACCTACATAAGGAGAATCATATAACTTCTTCAAATGATAATTTCAATCACTGTAGTAATTTCGATTTTCGATTAATCAATAAAAAAAAAAAAAAAAAAATGCTTGCCTACCTTCGGTAGTGAGGAAGCAAAAGTAAAAAATTCTGTACTATTTTAGTTATCGTCAAATAAAATATTGAATTCATCGTAACATGTTTCGGCTTGTTTTCAGGAACGTATGAATACAAGCCTAACACATAAATTAAAAGGGTTTCAAGGGGAAGACTTTAGCCAAATTTTGTTAAAATCCGTAAAGCCGTTTTGGCGCTACAGTTCATAGCGACACATTTTTTTGTGGCTTTGAACAGAAAAACATTTACATTTTTATTTTTTTTACATATATAAAATTATCGTAAAACAGAAGTACTATGCCAGAAACAACCCAGGAGTGTATCGAACAACTTCCCAAAGTTTCATGACGATCGGATGAATGGTTTAGTAATGCACTAAGGACAAACATACAGACAGACATTCATTTTTATATAGATAGATTAATTAATTACTCTCATATGTTTATATGTAAACTAATTTATTTTATTTAATCCCAACTCTTGTCAATATATTATTGTAAATATTTATTTTTAAGAGAGATAACGTATAATTTTTAACATAAAAAGCCTGGTAATAATTAATCATTCATTTTCTGCTTGTTTATAACAAATACCTATCAAAGATTATTTATCACTTTCAATGAGCACCTTATGTTGAAATTTAATATTGTCGTCATTTAATTGAATTTGGAATTAATGTTTTTTGAATCTATTAAATAATATATAAGCTCTAGTATAGGATTTTTTTCAAGTTAGCAGTAGTAAACTTTTCCTCCACTCCCCACTTCCAATATTGAACTGATATTTGATTATGATTATCAAATCTAGAATTTTTTCTATTTTGTGATGAAGATCACAATAATAAATAATAAATTTTATTATTGCGACCTTTGACTCTGTACTTAAGGCAAATGTCTCTTCTACAAAATGTACTAATAAAATGTTTTGTTGTTTTATTTAAACTCCCATTTCCAAATAATAAACTCTGTATCTTTTTACTGTTTAGAGCAAATAAGATCTAGAATTTTGTTTTCTTTTACCTGTCGATTATATAGAAGTGGTTGTTTTGTTCCCCCAAAGTCTTCCAAAGATGCCTTTTGTTGATTGATAAACGAGTGGAGAGACCAGACAGCCTACCAGATTTGTTACTGACAGCCACAATGAAATGGGCATTAATTCCTGCATTCTTGAGCGAAGCTTTCAAGTTGGGCAACCTGTAAAAATAATTTATTACAAAATTTTAAAACAACTAAACAAATAAAAATATAATGACAAAAAAATAATATGAATTATAAAATGTATTATCCTTAATGGAATTAATGTGTATGGAAGTCTCATGAGAGAAAATTAAATGGACATTCAAACAAAATGGAGTTTGAGTTACTCCTAAATTTGCTTTTACTAATTAGTATTTATGATCAATCGTGAAAAGAAACATTGATAATGAGGAGTATTTTTTATTACATGGCAAATCTTTATTAAAACTTGCTTTTTAACATATGAGTGACTTCATATCAAAAAGAGACCTGTCATTTTCAGAATTAGAAGAAAATATTAATTTTTGTTTTATAGGTTCAATTCAAACTGTTTCTGATGGTTTTATTTAAGAATTTTCAAGTTGAATCACGGAAGTAAATCATTAGAATTGATTTAAATTGAAGCAATGTTTCAAAAATGGCTCTTTCCTAACTTTTTAAGTATAACGCATGTCCGTGTTTGGTATAAAGACATTCATATATTTACAATATTTTTTCTCTTAGGATTATTTATTTAAAAAAAAAAATGTAAAATTATGTTCATCCCATATATTATTGGTTATATAATAAACAAGCTAAATTCTAGAGCACCAAATTTTCAGTAGAGCTAAAAATCATACTTTATCTAATTTATTTTGAATAGAGATAAAATATATGTAATATTTATTTTTGGCAAAATTTCATATTTTTTCACAATACTTTCTTTTGTACATAATTTAAATTAAAATAATTGATATTATTTTTAACACCTGACTGAAAAAAAATTCAATATTTTAACATGGTATATGGTTTGTTTTTAGTTTAGTTTTATTAATTTTCTTAATCAATTAATATATTACAAATAGTTAAAAGATCATTTATTTAGTGTCTCCAAAAAGTTTTCATGAACCAATATAACACACTCAATTTTGATAAATTTGTATTATTGGTTTATGCTAATTGTTTCTCACAAAATTATTCCTATGTAATAACTCTTTAATTTCTTCTTTGTATCAAACTTGGAATCTGGAATGAAATAAATTCCAAGATTAAATTTGTATTGAATTGCCTGTTTTAAAAAGAGCTTTTTAAAAATGGTCCAATGTCTAAAAAAGATCTAATCAGACGCTGATCGATTGAAGTGTTCTTATGTCCAAATTTAAGCAATTCAATTTTATGTTAAAATTAATGATTCATCTCAAAGAAAGAAACCATTAGTCATTTAAGAGGATTAAAGTTTGCCCTTATTATTGATTTACTAAATAAAGGGTCAGGAAAAAAAGACAGGTTATAATTAAAAAAAAAAATGATTTATTGGTTTAATAAATTCAGAATGAAAAGCCTCCCAGGAATTGTATGTAGTAAATATATTGTATTGAACTTACATATTGAATATTACTATTAGATTTTTCCTACAATCCTTCAATTATTAAATTTCTATTTCATTTATCCATATTTTATTAATGTCACCAAAACATTTTGTTTTGTGTAATAAAATCTATTATTTCTCATGTGAAATAAATTAATAATATGTATTTTAGCACTCTATTGAATATAAATATTAAATGCAATAAATATTCAATCTAAGGATAAACATAAATATATTTATCCCGATAGATTTGAATTCATTGACAAAATTAATTTTTAGTAATTATTTGATGTAAACATTTTTCTAAACCGTACAGTGCAATTATCTATTAGATAATAGTTTATTTGATAATTTTATAGTTATGGCTGATAAAATTTGGACTAATGATAAAATTGGAACTTTAATAATTGCAGTAATTTTTAAAAATTAATAAACTTAAAATATTGGTACACAACAAAATCTTATAAACCTTTGACTTGTTTTTGTTTTCCTGCAGCCCCATTTGATTTATGTTAGGGAAATTAATGTTATGAGAAATTCTTTGGTGATGAACATCTATGGCATGTCCTTAAAACATACTTTGGCACATACACCTATCTTAATAATAAAATTTAATTAACTGGGTGCTCTGGAATTTTACAAAAAAAAAAAAAACTTGTATTAAATTAGGAAGGAATGATCATGATGTTTAGGTAATGTTGGGTTTTTTGGACCATCAACAGCCATAGGCTATATCATTATTTATGTTTTAGTTCTTTTGGATCGAACTGATATATTTTACAGGATTATTATTTTGAAATATTAAAATTAAAAATTATATATGAAGAAAAGGTTTTTAAAATATAATTACTTGATTAAAAAAATAAAAATTCTTATTGAGTTACTGTAAGTCTGATCATGAGAAGGATTAGTCCAATATTTAAGGATGGTTTGTTTTATTTATTTGAAGACATAATTTCCATTTCATTACGTATATATGTTGCAGTTAGTTTTAAATCCAGTTTGATCCAATTTAAAAGTTTTTACTGGAGACACCAAAAACATATAAACTTGCCTATGTAACCCAATGAGTTTGAAACTATCTTAGATATTTTTGATCAAAATTGCTCAGCTTAGTGATTTTTAGCATGTAAAACTTATGCAAAATAAAGTAAAAATATATTATCAAAAGGAAAATTAAGATGATTTTGAATTTGGATTTGTTAATATGGATTAATAAATTTATATTCAATTAATCAAAAAATAAAAAAAATAATTATTATTATTCTTATCAAAGGTTTCAATAATTTCTAGATTTAGTTATAAAAAAGATATTCTCAATATTGTATGGCAATGGAGTTAAGATTCATATGTTTCCTTTACCATTAACAATCTGCATTTACAATTGAAGTGTTGATTAAAAAAATCTTTTAAAGAAAAAGATAAAAGCTCTGAAATAATTGCTTCAATTTCTTATATTTTAATAATATATGTAAATTGATAAAAATATACATTTCTCACTTTTATTGAAGAATACAATTAAACAACTAAGACTTATAATGGTATAAACAAAACTTTTTGACCTGTCAAGTTTTCGTTATCAATCCTTCAATTGTTTTAGATAATTCAATAAGAAGAATTAAATGAATTGTTATATTTATAGCGTTAAATTAAAATATACTCACATTGTAGCCTTACGTGCACAATATTTGCAAGAGCTTTCCATCGTATATATTACATTAATTGTATTCCTATGAATGACGTCTTCAGGCAGTTCTAAAACTTTGCAGTGCGGCAAAGCATCAACGTAGCATAAACAAATCAAACATATCACAGCACTTATTTTCAACATGTCTGCATAATTTCTGAATACTGATATAGGGCTATATTGATTTGATTCATATCACTAGAATTTTAGGAACACAAATCTAAGGAAACACTATATACAAAACTTCACTTGGAGTTTAAAAAACTTTGTGAGAAAAAGAACAATGTGAACTGCTTTCCTCCCTATATAGTTGATCCTGTGCATTCCTGACATGTTATGAGCTGTGCACACGCTACTAATGTACTCCTTGACCTGTTCCCATTAATCTATAATGTGTCGTCCATTAGTGGGGAGATTAGTGTTTCATTGATTAGAAATTAAGCGTAGGAGGATAAAAAAAAATCTTATCTCGAGTCCATATAATTGATTGAGTGATATGTAGTAATCCCTTTGTCAACAGACATACTCATCTTTATAACAATTGATCTTTGTGCCATCAGATTGAGATTAGAAGGAAATGAATAAATAATTGCTCATTAGAGCTGTTTTTAAATTCTTAGCACTGGATAAGGATAGACAAATATTGTAAAACTGATGGTTAACAATCCTTCTCAATTTTGTGTGTCAAGATAAGAGATCAAAATTGTGTTTGAATTAACTAAAATATATTTTGGTGTATTTTTTAAGGTTTAAACCACCATAAAAATACTGTATAATATGTTCCTGTAATCCTTTTTACATTAAAATGTATTATAGTTTTGTATTATAAAGTGAATAAAGTTATATTCTAACTTTATAAACGATATGCTTCAAGAGCACTTTACAATGCAATGCAATTAATCTATTCATTTATTTATTTTTACTAAAAAAACTACCATTATCAGGACTTAATATGAATTGAGTCTTTATTTTTCATCTGTTATTAACTTGATATTCCTTGAGAATGATTATTCTTGTGGTTACAATACTGCTCAGAAGAGAGTTGGAAGGCACAAGTTGAGGGCATACATTTTGTCAGATTTTTGAAATTTAAGAGATGAATTTCAAGCGGATTATGAATTTAGGAGGGAAATATGTTTTTCGGAGATTTTCAATTTGTTAGAATTTTCGAATAAGGGAACAAGGTGGAAAATAAAGAAGACTACAGCTAGTGTAATTGCATATGATTTACAATATTTCTAATTTTACTTTCACTTGTATTATTTTTAAGGGGAAGAGAGAATCAACCTTGGAGAAGATGGGCATCTCTGAGCAGGGTCCGACTACAACTCCTAAGTATAAGAAAAGTGCCAAAAAGAAGTTTGATGAAAGATCTCCTTCAGCATTTTATTTTAATTGTTACGTAACAACTTGTACAAGTCCTACTGCTAAGCATTATTGTTCATATGTTTTTTACATATTTTTTTGTCTGTATTCACAAATTTACTAATTGTTAGATAAAGTTTGACAAGTGTGGATCCATTATAATTTGCCAATTACATTGAAACATTACAGAAGCAATACTCAAACATTATATAATCCCATAAGCAAAAATTTCAAAAAATTTTTCTTTAGTATTATTGTTGTTTTATTGAGATAAAAAACATTCATGGAATTATTTATTTTGAAGTTAAGGGAATGTGTACATATGCACTAGCGGATCCAGAATTTAATTTTGGGACGGGCTTCAGCCAGAAAGATTTTTTTTCATATATATATAACGATAATTAATATGAAAAAAAAGAGAAAGAAATGAACTATCTATATGAAATGGTGTTTAAGTGATTCGTGAAGTCCTATTAAATGTAATTACACGAACAATAATACTTTAGCAGATAGTTTTTAATATTTTTTTCCATTAAACATGGTTATATTTTACCGTTTTTGGGGGGGGGGGGAAGCCTCCCCCCTGTAAATCCACCTGTGTACATATGCATTGTCTTAACTATATATTATATATATATATATATATGGGGGCTTCAGCCTGAAGGATTTTTTTATTTATTTATATAACGATAATTCATTTGAAAATAAAAAGAAAGTAACTAACTTATATCATATGAAATTGTGTCTTAGTGATTCTTGAAGTCCTATTAAATGTAATTACACGAACAATAATAGTTTTAGAGATAGTTTTTAATATTTTTTTCTATAAAACCTGGTTATGTTTTACCATTTTGGGGAGGGAGAGGGGGGCTTCAGCCTGAAAGCCTCCCTCCCCTGTAGATCCGCCTGTGCTTTATCTAAATGAAATTTGTGCATAAAATAAAATTAAATATTTTTAAAATAACGATTTAAATATCGAAATTCCATTTTGCTGGTATGAAATTTCATAACTTATACATAATTATGTTGTTTTTTTTATAACATTTATATAGAACATATTTTTTAATTCTTTTAATATTTCAAATAAAGGTAGGATTAATAAAATACATTTAAACAGTATCGAAAATGTAGTAATAAAATAATTTCATCTAAACACAGTTTACTTATAGAAATTGCTAAAATTAAATTGTAATTTTACGATTTTCATTTAGTGTGGTTGGCAGTCTATCCACTTTGGCGGATTATGTAGAAAAAATTTTCAGTCAACGGTTTTATTCGCGAGTGTTACTTATTGTTTAGTTTTTTTGCAAATGTGGTTTCTGTGATATAATTGTTATTAAATATTTCAATTGCTTATTCAAATATATGCATTAATTAAAAGTAAAAGTGTTTTATGGAACTAATTATAATTTGAAGATAGAAGTCTGCGATTTCTAACCCAGGTAAGATTTTGTCCATCGTTCCATTTTTTGCTTTCAGTTAACGATAGGGCCGATTTTTAAGTTCGATGGCTCAAAATTGAGATCTCTTGAATATTTTAAAGAAGTGTAAAACTGAAAATATGTTATTATATTTTAAGTATATCAATTTTTATTTTTTTTAGATCTCATATCATGCATATGTTAGTGATCATTATGAGCTGAATACAAATTTGTAATACTTCAAAAACTAAGTTTCTTTTATTTGATTTTACTTTAAGAACATTGCACTCTATATGTTAGTGATAGCTTAGTTTCACTAGCGGATCCAGAATTTAATTTTGGGGGGGGGGCTTCAGCCCGAAAGCTTTTTTTTCATAAAAATAACGATAATTGCTTTAGAAAAAAAGAAAGAAACTTACAACCTGCATGAAATGGTGTTTAAGTGATTCCTAAAGCCCTTTTAATATTAATCACACGAACAATAATACTTTAAGAGATACTTTTTTAATATTTTTTTCGATAAAAAATGGTTATATTTTACCATTTTGGAGGGGGCTTCAGCCAGAAAGCTCCCCCCCCATAGATCCGCCAGTGCTTAGTTTTAATTTTGATTGTGGTCTCACTAATGAGTATAAAAGTTTACTTCGTTGGTTTAACATATTACATTTTTTCTTAATGTTTGGGTACCGGGCCAGTCCTCTTTCAAACGTTAGTCTTTGGTAGTCGACCTTGTCTGTTTAGGGAAACGATATGTTATTGAAGTACAAGGGAGGTCAAGTTTCACATGTTAAAGTAAATGTGATGTGTTGGAATTTGCCATAATTTAATCGTTTCAGGTTTCAAAACCGATTTACTGAAAAAAAAAAATTGAAAAATCTGTATTTTTCGAATTTATTTATGGTATAAATAAAAAGTATATTTAGGCAATCATATTTATTATAAAGTATTCCAAATAATAGAAAAACAGGAAATAAAAGCTTTACAACAATTAATTATAGTCATTTTTGTTGAAAACAGGGGTACTTATACTTGACAGAGTAAAAAATCACATCATTATTTTACACAACTTGAGGTGAACCTCAAATTTTCCTTTAATTAACCTCTAATTAATTAATATGGACTTAAAGCCTATTAAACGAAACAGTTTTACTAAAAGTGGGGTATCTGTAGTATGGTCGAATGATGATTAAAAAAAAATCGAATAATTTATGATTTTTTAAAAACAGAAGGCCCCACTAGCGGATTCAGGATTTAATTTTGGAGAGGGAGGGCTTCAGTCCGAAAGCTTTTTTTTTCATAAAAATAACGATAATTAGTTTGGAAAAAAAGAAAGAAACTAAATACCTGTATGAAATGGTTTATATTTTTTTCCATAAAACGTGGTTGTATTTTACCATTCTTGGGAGACGGCTTCAGCCCTACAGGCTCCCCCGTAGATCCGCCCGTGGAAAGCCCTTCTCTTTAAATGGTTTTAAGTGACATATCTTATTTTCATTTAAAGTCAATTTTGCTATTTACTTAAATTAAAAGTATTGCGTAGAATATTCGGAAAAAAGGATGAATTAACCGGAGAGTTCAGACGGCTACACAACGCTGAATTGCGTGAACTGTATCCAGGTAATATAATTGAGGTGATTTCATCCCGGCGAATCAAATAGGTTTGTAAAATTGTTGGGCTTAGTAACGAGAGAATTCCTAAAAGGTTAATATTTTCTGTACCGAATGGTAAACGTCGGAGGAGTTGACTGAAGCGAAGGTGAGAAGATTGTATTAAATCCGATCTGAAGGGACTAGGTTTGGACGTGTGTAATACGCGATTTGTGGTGTCGGCATCGAACCTTCGGGTTCTCTAAGCCTTTTATTATTATTATGATTATTACTTAAATTAAATATTTCTTTGGTCATCGCTTTCTATTCAACAAAAATACGGCTTTCTTAAAAAGCAACAAAGCTCGGATTTCCTACTTTCCTGCTGAAAATTGCCCCATTATTTATATGAACTTTTTTGTAGCTCTTAAGATCTGCTATCACTCCTGTAAAACTTTCCTTTTACTTACGTGACAACCTATATACAATGGAGATAGATAATAGATATTCCTTAACCAGGGTCTCTATTCTTCATAATATGCACGAATTTCGCGCTTCGTGTAGTCTAGTACCTCAAGGAGGTAGGGGATGTAGCTCAAGTTGGGCGATCCCTTTGTATCGTGGACCCGGAGATGAGCTTGAGATGGGTTAATAGGCTGAGGAAGAAGACGAAGGTGATTAGGTGTCGAGTGCTAGGGCTAATAGCCTGTTGTTACAGTACTGTCAGCTCCAGGCTCAACTGAATTACTTCCCTTCTAAATGAGCAATTGA